TGTTGTAGCACGAATGGGTCGTCTCGACCGGGAAGGACCACGCTCTCACAGAATCAACGCTCAACTTCATGATGCTGTGTTTCGTATGGTGAGTGTAGAGAACCGGAGACACTTTTTACTGGAAAAGAGGCATTCCATCTTAGCGGGTTAACCATCCTCACGGGTGACAACGCATCTGTATGTTGATTCGCAAACGAGGATAAATGTAGATGTGTATGGGCTACAGCAACCACTTACCATCAGGCGGACTGTGTGCTCGTTTGTCACCCTATCCTATAAAAAAAAATTTGAACAAGACTAAAGATGTTTTGTCAGCTCTACGGGCTAAGATGGAATGCCTCACAGCCTGTGATACTGGCCCTAAATTCTCTTCGCACCGGAACATAGCAGAGCGAGCACTACTATTTGGAGCTGTTGCTTTTAGTTTATTCATTGCATATTATTACGTATAACGCAACTTTTTTTATTTTAATTGATATTCATACCGATAATGTAAATTTTTACTCATGTGTAATATAATATATAAGCGTTTCTTATTTGTTTACCAACTGCCTAACATGAGAAAATCACTAAAAACTTATAGTTACGTAACATGGCGTTTTTATTTTAATTCTTAAAATCTATATTCATTTAGCGAAGTCAGCGCCGCGTCTACGCGCGCAACAGAGCTGCAATTAAAATCACATAAATCATGTCCGTTCTCGCTTATAGACCTTGCAACGAATGCAATGATCTATTAACCTTTTACAGTTGATAATAAAATTGTTTGTTGGAAAACACTAGAATGCGAACACACTTTCTTAGTTCATTTTTAACGCGCGACCGGTTCCACCACAATCGTGTATTAATTCACGTCCCTTGTTTAATTGATTTTTTAGTGATCCATCAGCGAGTGTTATAAACGGCCGCCGGTGGAATTTCAAAAGCGATGTTTGTGGCATTATTTGCTGCCATAATATTATATCTTGTTCTCGTTTGAATATCATGAAAATTCATGCCGCGGTATAAATTAACAAGTTCTATAAAAGACGTTGTACTGATATAATTAGACTTAGACGTTTAAGAAATATGAGAATTAAAGAAGAAATAAGCTGTTCTAAATTTAAATTGTTTTTTTTTTGTTATTTGAACAAAGGTATCAATCAATGCTTTTTATATAGAATAAGGATGACACACGAGCATACACTCCACATGATGGTAAGTGGATACTGTGGTCCATAGACATCTACATTAATACTAATTGAGAATCAAAATGTAGATGTGTTGTTTTTTGAACTGTAAATATTTTGTTTGTCTCAATAAAACTTGTTAATCAACGCTTGAATATCATTTTTAATCCTCAATAGTCTACTAAAATGGCATTTCTATAAAAATGTGTTCGGAACTAGTAATGCGTGAACATTGGTGTTAACAATTTCTATAACGTGCAGACTAAATAAACGTGGCTACAAACAGATAAATCGTGTAGGGCGTAGGCCAACATAAATCTACACATGGATATCGTTTTAATTATAACACAGTTTCGGCGCGTCAGGAAAACAATAAAAACACGCTATGGAAACTTGACTTTACCGTGATAGATTTTCCATTCAAGTTAGTTCATCGATAGCGCATGCCGACATTTCCCCATAATTAGCGCTTCAGCAAAAAGCGGCTCCGCTCAGCACAAGGCGTGAACTAATGACTGGCATCAATAACAAATAGCTAGAAAAACATGTTAGTGTTTAGCTGGCTTGCATGTTGTTCTGTGCTTAGCTACGATACTGTACGTCCTAGATCATTTTTTACATTCAGTGCTATAATTTTAAAGTAGCAAAATTACGTTGTTGTAATGAACAATTATGGTTTAGACTGTCACAATCACATTTTGTTGACATTTAGTTAAACATTTTAGTGTTTCGTCGTGTCGTTAAATATTATAACGTGGGCTTTAAATTGTTTAAGAATTTCTTTTTTCTTTTTCTTAATTATTGGCGAACGTGAACGTCAGTTAACACGTTTTTCATTTCGTATTTTGATACGTATTGATCTTTGTTGTGTGACATAAGTTAAATTTTAGTGCAGAGTAAACCGTAAAATTTATTTTTGCCTTTAATATCCGTGCCTAGACTTTAAAATAATTTCCAAAATGTAATTTCCAAATAAGGTAACTTAAAAATTATATAATTGACGTAGGTAATCAGCTTTTTCGAACAATAGACTATATATTTATACATTTATATCTGTACTAGCTTTCATCCGCGGCTTCGCCCACGTAGTAGTCTGAAATAATATTTTTGTCGCTACAACCCTATTTTTCATTCTCTAAAGAAGTTTATTTCGCGTAGATTCCAAACTGCTAATGGCTTGACACTTATTCATTAACAACTAAGGAAGGTTACTTATTTATCACTAACTCATCAACGAAGCGCTTTAACTTTAGAAGCGTAAATTAACAAACAGAAATGAAAGAAATGAAAGTACACTTTGTGTTATTTATAAATCTAAAGAGCCCTTTAAACTACTAAATTTTATCAAATTCTATTTAGCTATTTACGCACGAGGAGGTCATTTCAAAATCAAATTCCAGATCTATCTCACAGAAACCGTGCAGTTTTCCCAAATTGAAAGTATTTTATATATATATTATATATTCTCCAGCTCATAAATTATCTAATTGCAATAAAATTATGTAGATCCGTCGCTACGTTACTGTGTGAAAGAAAGACAAATCAACAAACTAATAATATTAAAATATGGATAGAAAAAAGTCAGGTTAAAATGTAAGAAAGTGACGTTATAACGGAAGAGTATACAAATTTTGCAAGTAAAAATACCTATTATGAAAAGTTAGAAATCACTTAATAGCATTTATATATGATTGATAATATAATACAGAACAGACAATTTAAGAATAAAGACTTGAAATTTTTTGAGTTAACATTCCTCCATAACTCTATGATACTCTGCAGTGTTATGGTCAAGGTTGACCATTTACATTACTACTTATTTTTTTTAAACACATAGATATTTTTTACTAAACTTTTTGCACTAAAGATACAATGTTAAGTTTATTTCCTATAAGTACCATTTTCTGCCGGATCGCTTCTCGTAAGCTATGTATTCACAAGAACGTTATAAAAAAAATTATATACCTAATCGATGAAATATAATTTTGAAATCGCATTACTTAATGTTGTACATTTAAAACTATAAACGAAAAATCTAAATTATATTCCCGCCAAATTACTAATTAAAAATTATTCTTTTGAGATTTCCTTACCAGTTTTGCAAAGAAGAATAATGATTCATCATCATCATCATTACAGCCCTTCACAAGTCCACTGCTGAACATAGGCCTCCCCCAAAGAATGCCACAAAGCACGGTCCTGAGCCACCTGCATCCATCGACTTCCTGCATGTCTTACCAGGTCGTCACTCCATCTCGTGGGGGGACGCCCTACACTTCGCCTACCGGTACGAGGCTGCCACTCGAGAACCTTTCTTCCCCATCGGTTGTGATTAATTTATTGTAATGATTATTTTTGATTAAATATTAACAATACCGCAACCTAAATATCGCGCCTTTTTAAATTTTTAAAGAATAAATCAGTTGCCCGAAGAACAGAGATAATGTAACGAAAATTTTGATCGATAGTGATTGCGCATTAGGCCTCGACGCCATGTTCCCTACATGTTCGTTTTGCCGACAAACACCGATACAGTGTCGATAATCTGATACAATATTCATATCTAATAAACTCATGTTCTATAACCTTTACGATTTGCCGCTATCAACTTACATAAGAGTGTTGTCTATATCGAATCTATATGTGTGTATGCTGATAGTGTTTCCTTCACTTTTAGGACACCTTTATGCAACACTGAATTCATTGTTTTCATTTATTCATTCTTTCATAAAAAGTCCATCGCCTATGTTGTGTCCCTCATAAACTGCCTCAAAGTTGCTACAATTGGCAGGTGGGTTGGCGACCTGAGTTTGAATTGTTATCAGGAAGTTGCTGCTGCCCGTATTCTGTTTTAGTTGTCTTCGGTCGCCTCTTACGACACGCACGGTTAGACATCGGCTGGTGGATTCTGTTAAACTGCCACAAGAATTTACTGTTTTAAATATTATTTATTTAAAATTACTATGAATGCTCCGCAGACAATACAGTACCTACTTAACCGATCAGTACGAAAAGTAGCAAAGGGCTAGACATATACCTCGAAAAGCCGACAATAGATAGGAAAGAAAAGTTCTTAAGTGGCAGCCTCGGTCCGCTAAGTGAAATGTACGACAGCCCCCGCCAGATAGGAGTGACGACCTGGTAAGAAAAGCGATGAATGCTGATGGTTGAGGGCCGGGTTTTTTTTCCTTATGGAGACCTAAGTTCGGCACGGTTTTGTTGATATAAGTTTTATGCTAACCTCAAACGATTGTCTTCACGTGTGCGATAGTTGGGCCTGTTGATGAACAATCCACTTCAACCCTAGTAAACCGTTATTATCTGTTTCTACATTTGCATAACTAAAAATCTGTAGGTACGTTAAGCAATTGCGACTTATCCACGAAATGCTGAGGATTCAATAACGCTCAGCGCTATCTCTCTAGTGTCTCACTCGAAAATTAATTACATGACTCTAAAGTCTGTACTGTATATTAAAATAATACGAACAGATTTCCAAAAAACTGTTTTGTAGAAAGATTACTATTAACAAAACCAATTTAGTGTTTGTGGTCGATGGATAATTATATCCATACCTTTCGTAAAACTATAACTTATTCATACAACTTCCAAAGTCAAAAAATCTCTTGTTTTAAATCCATATTATTTGAAATGATTCTATGTTAAACAATTCAGTTAAAACAAGCCAACATATATAATATAATGTTATTTTTTGTCCTCGGATGAAACATTTTTGATTGACGTCATTTTGTCTCGAATGTTTTATACATCGTTGGTGAAGTTAAGAACATTAAAAAGAGACATTTAAAGAAATTGATAATAAAAACTTACCCATTGAAAGGGTATCCAGCGAACGCCGCATCGTAGGGGTGATACACTGTGGGATACGGCCAGCTGGCTGCACTCGCCGCTAAATTCTCTTTCAGCTCGATTCCTGCAGCCTGTTGGAGCAATAATCTGTTAGAATATTGGATGATGTTGTATGCTTATTTATTACGTTATGTATTACGTTAAGTACACACGTCAAAAAAAGGTTGCGATAAGTTAGAAAAATTGATATCTTTTTTGTTAGGGTAGACTATGTTATAATATCTTCTTATTTTAGATTATTTACTTAAAACATAGAATTAGAATATAAAACAATAAAACAAATTCAATTGTCTTCCTATATAAAAAGGAATTCAATCTAAGCTTATTTAAAATACTTTTTTCGCCTTTGATCCCGTATCGAGGCTCCATGACGGCAGATAGGTACAAAACGGTCTAGGGAATTGTCAGACCATTTCGAGTAAGCCATGGGCACCAATTCGTACTGGTCGATTATAATGCGCCCATACATCGGGCTCAACGAGTCAATGCTGCTCTCCGAGAATACGACATCACAAGGTTAGACTAGCCTGCCAGCTTGCCTTTTTTTATAGAATAAGGGTGACAAAGAAGCACACAGTCCACCTGATAGTAAGTGGATGCTGCGGCCCGTAGACATCTACATCTATCCTCGATTAAGAATCAAAATACAGATGCGTTGTCATCCCTGAGGACCAAGATGGAATGCCTCGTTTCGAGTAAAAAGGCTCTCCGGTTCTCTACACTAACCATAGGAAATACAGCAGCATTAAGCTGTTAAATACCCTGGTATTCTGTGAGAGCGTGGTGCTACCCAGATCGAGCCGACCCATTCGTGGTACAGTCATAATCAAACCCAATAGAGCAAGCGTGGGATCCTTTGTTTTGAGATGTTTGGAACCGTCAGCCACCTCCCCAGACAGTGCCAACGATTAGGAAAGCCGTTATTCAAGAATGGCACAGGTAGCAAGTCAAGAAAAATAACACATTTACAATTGAAAAAAGTTAAGTCATACATAATCAATTTATTCCACGTTAAGTGTGAACCCCTAATACAACGGACACAAGTGGTAAAATTAAAAATGTTGTACAACTGACTGCAATATAAATAAAATGAGAAAGTCATCAATTTTTTTTATAGGATTGGGTGACAAGCGAGCACACAGTCCACCTAATGGTAATTGGTTACTGTGACCCATAGACACTTACATCCATCCCCAATAAAGACTCAAGATGCAGATGCGTTGTCACCCGTGAGGACCAAGATGGAATGCCTCTTCGCCAGTAAAAGGGGTCTCCGGTTCTCTACACTCACCATACGAAACACAGCAGCGTTAAGCTGCTATTTTACGCTGGTTTTCTGTGAGAGCGTGTTGCAGCATGGCTCTACCACGTAACAAAATCAATCAATGTAAATTAAATACGCATTATTAAGGATAACTTAAAAACTACTGATCAGATCTTGATCAAATTTATATGAAAAGCACCAGTTTTCAGACAAAAGAAGAATCATCAAAATCAGTTAACCTAGAAAAAAAGCTATGAGGTAAAACTCATAAAAAATACAGTCGAATTTAGAAACAACTCCTTTTTGTGAAGTCAAGAAATGTTGGATAACTTGATCCTCAGCATGCCCAGGAGGATCTCCGCATGTGTTCGAGTCGAGGCAGGCGTTATATTGTATTAAATAAAAACATTCTATCAATAAATTGTTGTATAAGTTTAGTTAAACAATATTTTTCTTTCCATCAAATTTCTGTTACAATTACATTAGAATTGAGTTACTCAGCTTTTATTAAAATTTAAAAATAGTTTTATTTTTTAATTTCAAACAGTGTATTTCTATTTAAAAAAAAGATACAATAACGTAAACACATTTTCGTGATAAAGTTAAATTTTAAAAATATTAATAGATAAAATAGATAGATAAAGATTATTAACTTTTTTGACGTGTCTATGTTAAGAAAAAAACACTTCGTAACTACAACCGCAGGGAAATCCGTGTGTTAGTTGCTAAGTGACAAAATACAATTTGAATGTTATAATAATATTTGCGTTTCAATTCAAATCTTTCTCTTCTTTATAACCTCTTCTATTAGACGCTCAGTAGACGGCGAATGATAAAACAATATCCGTTAATTATTCTATTAAGTCTGCTTTCAGATTTCCAGTAGCTTTAAAATAATCCATTATGAGAACGCTCTAGTCAAATTGATTTCTTGATCGATCATTTCGATCCTTTCGTCTTAACTATTATTATTTAATGGCTGTAGATAGCTGACTCATGCATCAATCATCTTCCTGAGGACAAATGCCTGAGTTTTTTGATGTCTTGTTATTGATACGTCTCGACATAATTGTATTAATGCCGACAGGTATAAAGCTTTAACGACCGTTTTTTTTAGAATTGGACTCTGTTGTATTGTTTTATATAGATAAAGATATATTATGTTCATGCGCTGCTTAATAAAATAATCACACAAGTAAGAACTTTGATAAGATTCTTATCTTAATGTCGTCATTCTTTGTTCTATATAGAAAATATAGCGTGTACAGTAGGTAAAACTTCGATTGTTATATTTACTTTCAGTGTAGATAACGCGAAAAGTAATTTATATACATGTATAGGTAGTTATTATTGGCAATACTTATGTAAAAAGGACAAATTGCGTATAAGATTGAATAGCAGTACAGGGACAAAAAATTTATAGCGACGTATTAAAAATAACTCATGGGGCGACTCTTAATGCGGTCACCCAGGATAAATCTATCAAAAGATTTTGTTGTCCAACAACTTCATTGGTGGCCGAATCGAAAATCCGATAATAAATTTTACTCAAGTACGACAGCGTAATCCAGTCGCGCTGTCGCTCTTTGTTGCTGCGACCTTTCTGATATGATTCCAGTTTTCTGTTACTTCAAATAATTATACTAAGCTGTAACGCAAATCTGTTATTCGAAAATAACGTGAGGTAAAATGTATAGACCATTGTCGGGACGTGAACGCCTGTTGATAGATTTACAGATTGCATTCTTACAAGTTCTACATTCAAATTTTACTGAAACGTTTTCAAAAAAAATTTATTTACTATTGAAAATTTTCTTTCTACCTGTGTACCTGTAACCACGGCGAGGGTAATATTTTACATAAAAATGCATCACTAAGTTTTATAATATATAGTATTAATGTTCGCCATTATCCTACATTACATGCGTAAGCTATAGGAGAAATCTGCTTCGAAGAAAATATATATGAAATAAAAAATTGCTTATAATCTTTATTGGTATTAACTTGATTGGTTTAATGGAACTGAACTATAATTCCATCGACATTAATTATATTATACCGTAGTGGGTATGTTCGTGTATTTTTTGGGATGCAAAATTTTATAATCCGTGGATCGTTGGGTGGAACACGCGTTGGTTGATGATCGTAGACTCGACAGTTTCAAAGTTTAACAAAAATTATGCGTTCAATGTGCCAACTTGTAAGGAAATATAGTATGGTGGTCAAATCTTGTCAATTTGTTAATCCCCCAATTATCACCCTAAAATGTTTATGACCGCTCTAATTTAAAACTGTATGATTCACTTATATCAAAAAATTAGTTTTGTGTTATGAAACTTGAATACTTATTGAAAAGGAAATGGTATTTAAAAATAGTTTCGAAATACTGCAAAAAGTAGTACCTACTTACAATAAAGATTTGAATTTATCAAGAATAAATAAAAATAATAAAACATCCATGCCATCCATGGAACTTTCCGCTTATTTTCGAGCGCAACGCTCGAAAATTTATTTAGTTTTTGTTTTTTTTTTGGTTTTTATAATCCTGGAAACGGTTCGACCGATTGACTTGAAAATCTAATCAGCTCGAGGTCGCAATGAACACCCCATCGCCACGTGTCGGCCATCTCGATTGGTTGATTAGTTCTAAAGATATTACATACATTCATACATACATATAATCACGCCTCTTTCCCATAGGGGTAAGCACACAACACAACAGTGGTCTCTGCTTACCCTTTCTTTCCACTTGCTGTGATCCTTACATACTTGTTTTTAAGATCTGATGAAAACTCGCATTTTCAAATTCGGAGCGAAGTCTATAACTTCCTACTTTTGAAAATTATTAATTTTCAAAGCGGGAAGTTAAAAATAAATAAAAATAATAAGACATAAATAAAAATAATAAAATGACAAGACAGTTCGGTGTACTAACCATCACATACGGAAGAACAAATGAAAATAAAGTTTATAATATATGAATTATAGTACCTAATAAAATCAGTTATTAATTAATTAAGTCAGTTTATTGGATTTTTCCATCAAGAAATTCTCAGTAGTTGCCCGGAGTCAGGAAGCTGGCGGTGTCTCACGCCCGTACCTCGGAAAGCACGTAAAGCCGTTGGTCCTGCACCTGATCTCTCTCCGGTCGCGTCGTTTTACCGTCCCATCGGACTTGCTTGCGCATACACTTGGGCACTATAATCCTATCCTGCGCCGATGGCTAGTCTCCGTTGAGACTGGCCGCCGTGACCGAAATTCGGTCTGGAGGACATTATTATAGTAATAAAATCATTTATTTCCAATCACAGTGATACTTATGCTTAAAAATATAGCAGCTTATAGTTTAATAGTTATTAATATTCAATCATATAATTTCGAAATCGTAATGACCATGACTATAACAAGTTGGTCTAAGTTGCTACAACAATTTTACAAAAGCAAAACTATAATTTTCGTATTAATCAAATAAAACGTTGCATCTGCGTTTTACTTTTGTAAAGAAATCATTATTTAACTTCATGAATTTGTCAAAACGTCGCGAGATCATAACGCCTTTATAATATACGACCGCCTCTTACCACAAATCTATTAAGAGCCGTTAGACAGAGGCGGAGATTTATTTTCGGGCCTCTTCATTAGAACTATAAATTTTAATTTTTTTTAATACGCCACAGTCCGTTTCCTGTGACGATGATACCACATGTGCGAATGGTGCAGACAGATCAGTATCAAAACGCCAAAACAAATATTTTAAAGTTCTTTTCCATGATAAATTGTATACTCCTCTACTATAGACTGTAAAAGTGTACACGAGCAAATAAAATGACGTAACAAATGCTCGAAACAAACAACACGAATGTTTCAATAAAAATAATTTCGCCTAGAATGAAAGAGTTAAAGGATATAAGTTGTAGGCCAAATAAAAGACGATGAAAAACACGGTATAGGATTCCATTGAAGGCAATGGATCGGTTTAACACTTTCGCCACCGATGATATATGATCATATCTACATGAATGATTGAATCATCTCCCGGGACACGTTCACGGCCCCACCTTTTAACACCTTCTTCCAAAGTTTTACTACACGTCATATATTACGTGCCCTGGCTACTTTTATGTTGTTACGATCATTATCATTCAAAGTCACCTACACGCGGACGTCGGTGAGCCTCAAACTAATACCGCGCTCTGTTTTATGACTCCGCGCGTGCATTCATGAAATATTTCTTTTTTTTTATGAATGTGTATGTTGTTGGCCCTGCAGCCTTTACAGCTTCACCAGAAAAGATTCGCAAGTGAGGATATGTGAGGCTACATATTAGTTTTAATTATATTTAAAAAAAAAACGTTGTTTTGTTGTGCGCCACATTAATGTATTTATTTATGTACTGGCAATCATAACAAAAATGAAGCTCGTAAATTAAAAATGAAAAACAGCTCCTGTTTGTACTTTGTTAAATGTCAGCAATATAAAAATGTTAATCTCTAAGAAAGAAATTGTTAAACGTATTAAGTTATTAAACCGAAGCGAGGTAGGAAACAACCTTTTTTGGAATGATATACAGAAGAACATACGTCATCGGATTACGATTCTAATTTATACGTATTCTTTGTGTCGTAAAGCTTATTGTTGCGTCTACTTAGCGCTGTGGATGATTCTTATAGCTGCCCCTGTAACGTACTATTTTGACATCGGATCCTAATTATTTTAAGGTAATACTTTTTTGTGATGGGCCAGTTGAGATAAAAAAGAACAAAATAATAAACAGTAAGCTCCTTTGCTGTAGATTGATAATCCTTTTTATTTCGACGATGACTCGTCGTGAGGCCGTGGTGTGGTATTAACTAGCTAACTCACTATAATAGATCTAATTAAATCTTGTCATTTGTTAGATCAAGATGTGTGTGTTATTGGATAAGGTTCTAAGGATTAATAATATTAAATATAACAACACTTGAACATCATTATTTCTTTTGTTTGATTTCCATAAGAAGTAATACCAATTCAATTACGATTTTCTATACGATAAACGAATAGAAATATTAAAACGAGTAATAAAATTATTTCTCGACAAAAGATATAAATATATAAAAAAAATATATATATTATGAGTTTTAAGATAAACTTTTATTGACCGTGTTCTGTATTCTCGTGGCAGTGGAAGAATATCCACTGCCCCTTATCTTGTTGTGGAGGCGACATATGGAAACTAACCAGTAGATGGCAGCAGCGTCATCCTAATAACCAACTAAAGATAAAAAAACTGCGGTTGTCAACCCGCCTTCCTAAATATTAATTTTATATTTTTGGAACATATAATCTAATTCAGAATTAACTTAAGCGATTTAGCGAAAAAACAGGCATCTTCCGCCTGCTTCTTTACACTATAATTTGAGCTTGTTAATTTTAAAAAGTGGAAAAATACAATGGAAAGAAATATGTAGTCAATACAAAATCAGACAGAATTAAAAATGTTGTCATAGCTTCTTAGTCTTGATTTAATCTACTCTATAGTCAATATTGTAACAACATTGTACAAAAATTTAATATTTTGTGATCTAAGTAGATATTTTCGGAATTAATTATCATATATGCCAGTACGTAACATTTCAACTTCTATAATCAACCTCAATAATTAATAAATTAAACAACATCTTTAATGAACATGCCTTAAATAATATATAATACTTACTGCATTTGTATAGAAAGGTGGCTGATCAGCGGCGAGGGCTGGGAAGTACGCGGCCATGCCAGCAGCGGTTGCGGCGGCGGCGTCCGAGTAGGGCGCACTGTACATCGACAGCGGCACGCCGGTTGCCAGCCGCTGGTAGTTGAGGAATTCGTACTGGCACGAACAGACTGTCTGCCCTGTGATAGGGTCTTGGAAAATAGGTCGGCCGGTATCACAGCATCGCGGCGCGGAGGCGGCCGGCGAGGTCGGACGCGCCGGTCCACTCGCACCGCCCGCACCTCCGCTCATCCCCGCCTGCGCCGGCGGCGGACTGTTGGAGGCTGTCGATATGGTGCTCTGTAAGTTGTAAATTTTGAAATGCCTTTATGGCGCGTTTAACCATTCGCAGTTGCAGATAGCTTACATTACATTGGAGGCCTCCGTACGCACAGCGAACGCAATCGCAAAGCAGGTGAGTGGTACGTTCATGTGGTTGACGAGTTTAGCGAAGGAATAGAAAGGAATATTACTTAATATGGAAAGGAATATTACGCGATAAATCAATAGAAAATAAATGATTATTTAACGAGTAAAGGGGAGTGTTATGGGCGTATTTGTCACCTCGTCAGCGCTGATGATCGGCACGCAAATCGGACACGCTTGGGAAATGCCTTTTGTGCATTGTATAAAGAAATTAGATTATGCACCGTCGCAACGCTAATGCGACGAGACTGAAAAATGTCGATTATGGGGACAATAGGGCCCGAACTTGGCATATTGTTATAATAGATTTATTTGCCGGACTACCTGAATGGGTGTCGCGGTCGCAGAATAAACATCCGTCTGATATCTGAACATAAAGAGGGAGAAGAGCCCTGAGCTCGTATGCCCTTTTTAATTGAGCTCTACAAGAATTCATACGTATATAAATAACTTTCTAAATATTTGTCATTGGAATGAAAAATGGTCTTTGGCCGTCTAACAATCGTTGTGTTCTCAATGGGATTAGAAACCGAGAAATGCCACCCGACCGCTTATGATACTAACTCTGACAGGCAGTTGAAAGAAAATAAGAATTAAAACTTTTGTGTCCTTTCGATGTTATTATAGGATATTTCCGTAAAGAATTGTAATGTTCGATTATATTTTTCGACCTTATAATACTATTAGGTACCTATGTCAACAATGGTAAATTATTCCGCTAAAAATGTGTTGGAAGTAGTTTTAAATAGCTATTTACCTGTACCTAAGCAATTTTAAAATGCCCGTTTGTAACCTTTTATAGCGTGAAGAAAACGTTGTATACGATTACGTGCATACGTACGTAATCCTAGTGAAGTCACGACGCGGTTGACTATGGACTAAGTTCGAGCTGCGACCTGCCCGTTAGAGATATGGCTTCGGTGTCAACCTTAACAAGCACCGAGCGCCATGTTGCCGCTACTTGAAAATTTCGATCTACACGTCGCTATGTGCCGCGGCACGTCTGACTAAAAACATTTATTGTGCCGAGGGAATTATTGAGGTAATCCCGAAGCCGTTAAATGTCGAATCCCAGCATTACCTACATTACATACCCTGCATAGTTATTTAATCCTTGCTCGCAACACTGTATACATTCACCGCGGATACCCGAGCTATATGATAGGCTTTTAAATAGTCGCCCATTCGACCTAACGACGTTGGTAATAGGGATTATATCGATCACACAGAGGGATGTGGCTGAAATTGACGCCGGTGCTTAAAAGGGATTCAATCTGTTCAAACGATACGAGTGTCTGCTGGATGGTACATCATCATTTTTCTACTGCAATATGTTTTCATTTGTCAACCTTGTCCATCTTGGCTGAAACATGTTTTTAGTGTGTTTGGTGAAAAATGTCGACGATATCCGAATTTATCTCACAACGTACAAAATGCAACAAATGTTGAAACTGTTACGAAACACGGTACCCATTTGATGATTTGCAAACTTTTTTAATAAAGTGCAGGCATGTATTGCGTACTGTCAGTGTCTATAATAAAGCGATCAATTAAATAACAAGTATATCGTAACATTGAATAAAATGAGGAGATGCTTAAGTTTCATTGCCCATTTTAATAACCGCTGGGAAATGCAGTTTCGAGTTTAATGTAAATTGGTGTTTCGTGTACAGGGCAATACAAAGTTTATAACAAGTGGCAGTCAGTGCATAATATAGACATTTACATAGCACAAAATGAATTTAAACTAGTCAGCGAAACAGGAGAGCTCGCCGTAATCATTACGTCGGTACTAAAGTTCGCGGACTTGGCGAAACATCCGAGCTGTAGATTTTAGCTTTTGTTAGTCCTATCTCTGCAATTTATTTCTCTATTAGTACCTTACGTATAATGTTATAATATTTGTAAATATTGTTGTAATTGTCTTGTGTTATGTTAAAATATTAATTTTATTAAAATTTATGTGGCAAATGGTGAAGAAGTAAGAGATGCAACTATGGTATATGACAGGAAAATTTTATAGGTTCCGCTAGAATGGTAGTGTTCCAAAACAATTGTCTTTGGCACGCAGGGTTGAGTGGCAGAGTGCCACATGGCTTTAGTCCGTCCTATTTACTCTTTACTTTAAGATGTTACATTAGTATTTCTAATATGATATAATATGCCAATTTTAAAATATCCAGACCCGCGACGGAGAGTAGCGTTAAATGTGCGAGATCTGGTACTACAACAGGATCTGGATGCCAGCAGTGGACTTTTACAGAGTGATGATGAAGAGGTAGACGAATTAGAGTAATAATAATAATATAACCGTAAGACAAAATATCTGGACCTGGCTCACGAGGTTACCGGCATGTGGGGTGGTCTGCCGACCGAAATTATTCCTGTGGTCGTTTCTGCGAACGGGTTAATCCCAGTCAGCCTCCCGGGTCATCTGAGGCGACTGGGACTCCGTGACGGACCGCTCCAGGCTCAAATGCAGAAGGCGGTGCTCCTCGATACCGCCCGCATCGTCCGCCGGTTTCTTTCCCTTTCCCCCTAACCCTCGGCCGTCTGGTCTCCCCTGCCGAGGGCTTCCATCTGGTTGGGTTTTTATTTATTTATGTATTTTTTATGCATTTATTTTATTTTGTTGATATTTATGTATGTTTATCATTTTCATTTACAATTATATATTTATACAGCCCAACCAGATGAGTAAAATATATAGATGCCCCATATAACCGTAAAAAAAATCAAACAACACGCATTGCTCATGAGCTGTAATGATCCTAATAATTATTTTATTTTATCCTGGTGATCCCGATCAGGATAGTGAGATAAAGTTGTTACATTATTGTATTGTCATCGGTCCTTGATACGTGTGTGAATTTTCAAGTCAATCGGAAGTTGGTAAAAATAACATTAACAGATTCCGTAGATACACATTTTCTACGTGATAGAGCCATGCTGTAGCTATATTAGTAGTATAGTTGTAGCACGAATGGGTCGGCTCGACCGGGGAAAGACCACGCTCTCACAGGAAACCAGCGTAAAATAGCAGCTTAACGCTGCTGTGTTTCGTATGGTGAGTGTAGAGAACCGGAGACCCTTTTTACTGACAAAGAGGCATTCCATCTTAGCCTCACGGGTGACAACGCATCTGCATCTTGAGTCTTTATTGAGGATAGATGTAGATGTCTATGGGTTACAGTAACCACTTGCCATCAGGTGGACTGTGTGCTCGTTTGTCACCCGATCCTATAAAAAAAATACAGATTACATAGATAGATAGATAGACGCGAAGGTAATATAAGCTTTTTAAAGTTATAACCAAGGTCTTCTTTATTTTGATTTAATTGCCTTAGGCGATGTTTTTGTTTTTTTTTAATTCAAATATTAATTAAGGATTTAACTAAGCTATCGTTAGAAAGCATATCAAAAATCGTAAAGTGATGTTTTGCCTATAATTATCATACAACCATATTTATGCAATAAAATTAACACATTTTGGGTATATAATAAAAAAAAAATATATGTTACTCTCCATCCGCTTATGTCACAAACATTTGACACGAAACGTGACAGATGTTGGTCGGCGCTTAATAGACGCAAAGTTTTATGGCTTTTAACAACATTTAAGCCAGATATGAGTGTTTTTTGACGACTACATAAGTTTGTTAGATTTTATTTCTTGATATCAAGTCATCAGTAGTTGCAACAGTGATTATTGCATCGGAAATTATTTTGAATAGCTGATATCAATATTAAAGATTAAAATTACCTTTAATTTAATAATTTTGTAATAATAGTCAATCAATGAACTTTTAATCTAGTCTTGCGACGCCATCGTGAAAGTAGAAAAGAATTGAGATAGAGGCGAAGGGCAGAGAAAGATGGAAGAAGTTAGAGGAGGCCTTAAACCTAGAGGGATTCATACCATGGGTGTAATTTTAAAAGGTTTAACGCTTAGACATATGAAAATAATTAGTTTAGTTTTCAGATTAATATTAATTTTTTCTCTTTACTATTGTATGGATTGTGGATTAAAAGATTTATTATTATATTAAGTAACCTTTATTGATAGGAAGTTAAAGTGTCATTTACATGGTGGAATTTAGTTGCAACTGTATTATATCAGAGCATTTGATCTTACTGGCAGATGAAAAAGAACAAGCTAATGGTCATAATATAATAATAATAGAAAAACAACTTCGTTCACACTTCCTAGCACCGCCGTGCAAAAAGCGATTTGATATCACACACACAATAGCTTCTATTGAAGTATCTAAAGTTGTCAACTTATTATTATCTAGCACTTATTCCAATTAAATTCTATCTCTTTGTAATTATTATTGCTTTGTTATACCGCCTTTAAGGACTTCCTCAATACAAAAATATAATTCAGGCATTTCTCATTACAAACCCGGAATTGAGATTAAAAAATTTGTAACGTACAAAGATTGTATAATATTTAGCATGTATAACTAACCTATTCCAACTCGATCTCGGAGATATATAAACAATTCGCGCCCAATGATTGATATCTCATCAAATACGTAAAACTGTAATAGAGATTATTGAACGTGCTCCTAGTTTATCGAATAGTACATACATAATATTGGAAGCTACGCGTTCCAGATAGCGACGACAATTTGTTATTAGGTGCGTGTGTCACGCGTTTATCAACGCAACTATGGTAACAAGCGTACATCGCAAGCACTGGTTACGCACTTACGTAAATATATTGTGTGCTTATTAGATAAAATGAACAAAAAAGTCGTCATATCCTTTTCAAATATCGGACGGTTCAGGATTAAAGTGCCGCTGCACCTTATCTCGTGCAGACATCTTTTAAAAAACAAACACGAGAAGTATTCTCTTTTTGTCCTCGT